AAATTATGAAAACTATTCAAGAAAATCATTTTCCTTCTTTTTCATGATAGGATTATTAGTATTATCACGCCTTGCACTGGTTGATCCATTTCAGTTGGGTTTGGTAAGTATGTGGATTGTGAATCACTAGATTTTTCTTCCTTAAAATGAGGGCTTTGTTGCAGATATGCCCGCCAATATGTTGCTCCAAAGTGACAAAAATAATAGAAGACAAGGAGGAAGACTATATGCTCTTCGGCTTTCGTTTCAACAAAACCGTAAATCATTCCAGTTGCCTTTAGGTGTCCCCAAGGTTGAACAACAAATGCACCAGAGCTTATTTGCAAGCCATCAATTATCCATTCCTCCCAGGTTTGTCAGTTTCCAAATCATATTGGAATGACATAAAATAGAATAAATTGAAAATAGCGCCACCCACTGAGTTCAATGGAACCAAGTCTTAGTTCAAAGTTCTGAATGTAGTTTTAAGAGAAATAGGCCAAACAGTCACAAATTCTGCCACTGCTTTACGCCACCTGTTTTGCAGGATCAAAACAACCGGTTACATTTTTAACTTCAGGGAAGGTGTGGCAAAAGGACATCTTCACCTGTGAAAAGAACAAGGATTTGGATAGAATCGTAACTCAATAAATTAGAAGGTTTCTAGTGCACCTTCCTCGGAGCTGAGCCCTCGATGTGTGGTGTCCGCGGTTCCCAGAATTCCCAGCCAGTGAAGGCTGTTTAGGAGAAAAACCCAGAAACGAAATCTGTTAAAAACGGAGGGCATAATAAATTTGCCCATCTGTTGCCTTTGCAAGAAATACAGGAAGGTTGAAAAACCACGTCTTCTCCTAAAGTTTCCATCTTTTACGAGAAGGAGTAAAACCACAACTGGCAAGAAATCCCAAGTCTCGGTTTGCCGAGGTACTAGAGAACATTAACCTTTCTTCTATTTCTTCAAAGCGTGGATTCCTAAATCTTGTGGTGCTGCCAGCTTGGATTCCGACACGATTTTCCATTCCCACGTCACTCTAATTTAGTCGGAAAAGCCCTTTCCTTTGAAGAACGGGACGGCCCAAAAGTTCAGAAGACAATGAAGTGGAACGAAGTTCAGCATCATAATCCAGAGATCAGCCATCCAGGCACGAAGGCTGCCTTGGCTGGTCTGAAATACAAACGCCAATAAAGCCGAGCTAATTGGAAAGAGGCACCTGTCAGGATGCCTTTCCCGGCACTGAAAAAGAACATTTATTTAAGTGGATTAACTTAA